GAAAAAGAAAACATACCTATCCTATGATTTTTAAAATATTTTCAGTAAAAAAAAAAGGTGAAAAAATATACTGAGTCCATCGCAAAGTGCTGTTAAACCAGAACACTTCATGTCACTGACAGAGGGCTGAACACAATGGTCAGGTCTGTCAAAACAACTTCAACAACAACACACACACTATAAGGCTTGTATGTTTTGCTGCTATCACTGGGGTGACTAAGAGTCAATTGAGCATGTCAACAGACCAACATGCTTCACTCTACAGGGGATGTTATCACGTTGCCATACACTTGTAGTTTTCAGTCACCTGAAACTATAAACAGCCACACAGATTTACATTGTGAGATAATGTTTTCAATATGGAAAAATTAACAATAAACTCTCTCTCAAATGCACTTTTTTAGAGTCACACAAATCTGATATGCACATGTAAGCTCAACACATTTGATTTTTTGAGGTTTTATGGAGTCATACTGACAAAAAAAAAACTACACTATTTTAGGATTCTGCTGCATTTAACAAACAGGTCTCCAGGACAGAGATACTATCTCAGAGTAACACAACYTGATAAATGGACTGTTTGGATGATACAATGCAAACCAAACAGTTTTGAGGTCCTGCGTTTGGACAGTTTAAGATAGTTTAGGTTCCACATCTTCAGCAGTAAACCATGACTCTGCTAAACATTTAGATCATCCTTAAAGCCAGTGAGATTTTATCACTTGTATCAGGTGCTGAGGAGTGGGATTAAAAAAAGAGAGAAGCTTACATTATTTGGCTGTTTTACTGTCTGTGCAGTCCAGACTACAAAGACACTCATTGTACCTATATGGCTGAAACCCCACATTTCCTTATCATAAAAAAATCAGCTCTTGTTGTTAACTAATCCCAGCACTAAAGCCCCTCACATTGCCTTGGGAACTCGCAGGCTATTGTCCTTCACCTTGATGCAGGGGTTGGTAAAAGCGAGAGTAGACAAAAAGCCTGGCAGGTCTCTCATGCTGCGGCTTTGTAGCGCTCCGTCAGGGGAACAGAAGTTGGGGCCGACTGCGGAAAAGTGGGCTACAGGTAAACTGTGACCAACACAAAAGGAACAAAACCTGGATTGTGTAGCTGAATGGCCGCACATCCATGCGTTTGACACATGAAGCCGGTGGTTACAGACGGAGAGCCGGGATTTGATTTCACCTCACCAGAAAAAATACCAAATCTAATCTTTAAAGCTAGTAATCGGTTTTATCTATTTGAACCTTTTGGGGGGAAATGCACAGCTTTTTCACGATTTAGACTAAAACAAGGAGGGCCCTTTGTCTGGTAAGTTTAAAACTCACAACTCAGCAGAAAGACATAAAACAGGAGCCCAAAGAAAAAAAAACAGTCTGTAGTTTCTCTTTATCAGATGCTTTTAATACCTAAATTGCATCCTTTTATCAAAGAGAATAAACTTTATATTCCATCTGAAATCACTGCTCTTTCTGTTTTTGGAACGATTAAGCACCAACATTTGCTTTGGTTTTGAAACAACATCAGGACTTAAATTGAAAGATGTGCTTTGACAAAACAAAACCCATGTCAAATGTCTCCATGTACCATTCTGGGGCAAGATTTTTTTATTTTTTTATTTTTTTGGCTGCAACAGA